TCTGATTGGCTGGCTGGTGTAATTTAAATCCTGTACAGTTTCAGGGTTCAGTTGCTCACTTTAATACCTTCATCTTTTGTTGACATTGCCTTTTTAAAATGCTTTGTTTGTGTGGAATAACCATGTGGAAGCGGTTGTACTTCATGTGTCAAGCACTGGAGAAAACCCTGCACTATTCAAATTGAATGTGTGTGTGTGTGTGTGTGTGTGTGTGCCTGTGTGTGCTCAAGCACGTTTTGCACTACACTGTTAACCTGTTGCAGAATGTCAGCACTATGCACCATTACTCATGCAATACAGATCATTAATAATTACTGATGTAAAATCACTGACACACACACACACACACACACATACACACACAAACACACACAGCACAACCAAACACACACACACACACATTCTCTGAAAAATAAGCAAAGGAGAGGACTTTAAATCGGACAGGAGACATTTCAGAGATGGAAAATGTGAACTTTTGACATTTACTTATGAATGCAAGAATGGAGGGGTGGGAGTGTGTGAGGCTGCTAAAGACCGTGATGTTAGAAAATCATACTCCTTCAGTGTGAGCCTTTTAGTCACACACACACACACACACACACACACACGTAGACAGTCACAAGGTCTTTTGTCATGCTGACAGAGAGAGGGCAGAGCAGTGAGAGGGTCATAGAGACACTGAAAAACAAAAGTGTTTGGACTGGAGGAAGCAGAGATGAGGCAGTCTTCACCCTCTGCCACCCTTTTCCATGGTCATGAAATTTTCAGCTTTTTCCAGTATTGATTTATATGTACCCTGTGTGTTGCGGATATTGCAGTGTGACTGCAAGGTTGCCTTTTTGGGAAACTATTGTAAAGGTGCTCCTGAATCTGAGAGAAAGGAAAAGAAAAAAAGACCCACTGCCCTGTGGCCACAGGTACTGTGGGTGATTGGATGAAATGGGAAGATGTACTGATGTGAATGTGAGACTGTGTTCCAGGACCTGAGCAGCAGCTGAAACTGAAGGAATTATTATTTTATTCTCCAATGAATTGCATTCTTGGCGGCAGCAACATGCTCTGAAACTCATAAAACACAACACACGTGTCAGTCGTGGTGACAAATTACGCATAGTGTGGGTCTCGCACATGCGTGGAAGCACAGCGCCCCCTGTAGAAAAGCCCCAACTTCACCAATATGGATGAAATTTGGTACACACACAGATCATTTTAATGAAGTCCTCCTAGGGAATTGATCAGATCGACAACAGTTTGTTCAGTATAGTCTATTACCATCACAATGAAAAATCATGGCAAATTTTGACGTTTTGCCATAAAACAGGAAGTTGGGTAACTTCAGTGTACTTTGGCCAATCAGAACCAAAATGCACGTTTGATAAGAGTACCGCCCGAACACACATGGATGTCAATATTCAGTCCCCGCTCATAGTGCCCCCTACTGGCAACAGGAAATGGCATGTTTTATACTTTGATGTACTTTTCATTGCAGGTTTATCAGATCCAGCTGACATTTGGCTGGAAGACCCTTATGAAGCTGATGATGATATGTTATGAATCCTATGACTTTTCGTTTAACACTGTCTGTGGCATTGCTTCGAATTTAGACAGATCGCCGGGAAACGTACTTTGTCCAATCTGCATCAAAATGTACATGTCATGAAGAGTCCTGGAGACAAGAAGCAAGCCTTGTGTAGCAATCATCATCTGATTTATGTGAAGTTTTCACAGTGCAGTTTGCACATGATAATGGGCGTTAACAAGACTGCGGCACGCCCCAACGTGCACAGACTGCAAGGGCCCATTGCAGCTTTATTTTTATTTCTTTGCACAAATAGGAAAATATACAGATTTGTAGTGTTGATCATTAATCAAGCTGCAACTTTTAAAGCTGTCACTAATTTTAAATACAAAAACATAACACATACACAAATGCGTATTTTCAAGGTTTGTTTTCTGAGTCTCACTATCATCCTCAATTTTTAACCTTTTATCAGCTGTATCTCTTCCCAAATAATGTCCAACACCATGCTAAAAAAAGATAGATTTTTGCCAGTTGGCATTTATAAGTGTACTTCATCTTGTCATTTTTCAAGTGTAAAAAGTTAATACTGATAGTTTGAGTATATACTGGTGTACAGTTGGAACACAGGTCTGGTAAATTGTTGTTTTCTTGTTCTTTTGAGCTTTGCCTTTGGTTTTTCCTCTGTTGAACTAGATTGTATCACCAATTATTTATATTTAACCTTTTTAGGAAAGCCAGTATAATATTTAGGTTTATATCGTATATTCTGTTTTCCTCTTTGTCATTTCTGTATCTTGCATGAAAACCTTAATTCTGCCTGCTTGGAAAGAATTGGTTTCCCATTGGTGGGTAGAAAGAATGTATCCACACTCAGACACACAAAAACACTCAAACATATATACACACAGAGACACACATATACACACTCAAGGACCTGAATGATAAGGAAAATAATTGGCTCTCATCGTCATGAGGAG